TTTTTTTTTTTTTTTTTCTCCACTCCGAGGAATTAACCATTCCCAACAGCAAGTGCCTTATTTTCTGACATATTCTGGTCATGTGTGCATAAATTACCCAATTTTTTGTTTTAGAAAAGACACTCTGATCTCAACAGTTACCCTCCTTTGCAGATTGCTGAGATTCTAGTAGAGCTGGGATGTATAGAGTTCACACTCGATCCGGCTGAGAAGCAAATCGGGGACGAGATCATTGCCCTTCTTCAGCAAGGGAGCAACTTCAGCACTGGCTCAAACGACAACAACGAGCTCGAGTCCTTTCATCAGGCAGCCTGCAAGCTTGGCATCACCTCCTCGAGGGCCGCCCTCAGGGAGAGGCGGGCCCTGAAAAAGCTCGTGGACCGGGCCCGGGCAGAGGAGGACAAGAGGAAGGAGTCAATTGTGGCTTATCTCCTCCACCTCATCAAGAAGTACTCGAAGCTGTTCAGAAGCGAGATCTCAGACGACAACGACTCCCAAGGCTCGACCCCGTGCTCCCCTTTGCAGGGAAATGGCAGTTGCCCCTTTTTTGATCGCCAGCTGTCCAAGCTCAGCTCCTTCAATTTCAAGCCCAACCTCAGAAGGTCTGAGCAGATGCCCATCCCCCCCGAGGAGCTTAGGTGCCCGATATCCTTGCAGCTTATGTACGACCCTGTCATCATAGCCTCCGGGCAGACATACGAGAGGGTCTGCATTGAGAAGTGGTTTGATGACGGGCACGGCACGTGCCCGAAGACCCAGCAGAAGCTCCCCCACCTCTCCCTCACTCCCAACTACTGCGTGAAGGGCCTGGTGGCTGGATGGTGCGAGCAGAACGGGGTTCCCGTCCCAGAAGGTCCTCCCGAGTCACTTGATCTCAACTACTGGAGGCTGGTACTTTCAGAAAGCTACTCGGCCGACTCAAAGTCACTCGAGTACGAGGGTGTGCCCCTTAACAAAAGCGGCAACATCAAGGTGGACGAGGAGGAAGGGAGCATTGTTTCCCATCAGGCAGAGGATGAAAATTGCGAGGCTCGTGTGTTTGAGAAATACAAGGGCTTCTTAAGGGTTTTGGAGGAGGAGGATGATGATCTGCTGAGGAAATGTAAGGTGGTGGAGAAATTAAGGCACTTGCTGAAGGATGATGAAGAGGCCAGGATTTATGTGGGGGCCAACGGCTTTCTGGAGGCACTGCTGAGGTTTCTGGAGCATGCCATCTCCGCTGGGAACCAGACGGCCCAGGAGACTGGAACCATGGCTCTTTTCAACCTAGCTGTAAATAATAACAGGTGCCCACTTAAGGTTTTGAAGATGCAAGTTCTGTGAGTATAATATACAAATCTTGTAACTTGGAGTCGGGGTGATAGTTTTTTTCACTATTTCCTAAACTGATTTTTATTCTTCCCAGAACGTATTCATAAAAGAGTTTGTGTGATGGTTTTTCAGAAACAAAGAATCGATGCTGGCCTTGGGCGTCCTACCGTTACTGCACAAAATGTCCAGCAATTTGGATTCAGCAGGAGCAGCGACAGCCCTGTATCTAAACCTGTCGTGTCTTGAGGAGGCCAAGGCCATCATCGGGAACAGCGTAGCTGTCCCTTTTCTGATCTCGGTCCTGAGGAACGAAAACGAGAAGCAGTGCAAGTTAGATGCTCTTCACACCCTCTACAACATATCCAGTGAGCCGGCCAACATTCCTCACCTCCTGTCAGCTGGCATAATCGATGCCCTCCAGGCTGTCATTGGTCACCCGTGGACCGAGAAATGCATAGCCATCCTAATCTATTTGGCCTCAAGTAAAAACGCGCGGGATGAGATTAGAGCAGTGCCGAGCCTGATTAGCGCGCTTGCTACTATTCTGGATGTGGGGGAGGCTGTGGAGCAAGAGCAGACGGCAGCTTGCCTTCTGATACTATGTAGTTTGGACGACAAGTGTAGTGAGATGGTGCTCCAGGAGGGGGTGATACCCTCGCTGGTGTCGATCTCGGTGAATGGGACGGTGAGGGGGAAGCACAAGGCGCAGAAGCTCCTGATGCTGTTCCGGGAGCAGAGGCAGAAGCAGAGGGAGAGGGACCCATCGCCCACGCAGCCAGTCTCCCAGAGGCCCCTGTCCAAGACGGTGTCAAGGCATAAAGTGGGTAGAGCGTTTAGTTTCTGGCGGAAGAACAAAAGTTTTTCTGTGTACGACCAGTGCTAACAAAAAGAGTTTCCTGGGAGTTTTTTCTTATCTGAGAATAATAGATTAAACGATTAGTTGGTGTGAATTACACTAATCTTTGGAGGCTTGGAGATCATACTTGGTGTCTCAGCTGTGAATAATCCCTTGGGTGCTGAGTATAGCACGTTTTGAGATGAGGCACATGATATATCACAATACGTTCATTTGTTAGTGGTTTTCGGTCTACTTTTAGCTTCAACCTATCTGCCCACAACAGGATAGTAGGAGTATAAGAGGGAGATCTACGTGAACTGCCTTGTTGAATTCTCACTACTGAGAGCAGCCAAACAATCAATATATCCGAGAAATAATATCAACTTTTCCTAGGAGAACAACTTTATTTCGAACTCCACGGTGGGTGCACTTTATTTTTTAGTTTTTATTTTTTTTATTTTCGGGGACATTTTTGTGTCTACCTTTACCTGGCTTGCCAGGTACAACTCTAGTTTTGAAAAAAAAAAAAAAAAGGAAAACTTTTTTGGTTTATCTGTAGCAGATCAAATAAGACATTTCCTACACTCCCAGTGTGTCACGAGCATATCCCTTGGGACTAGCAGCACAAGCAATTGCCCGTGTGGCCTAGCAGGTCACTCCTGTCTGCGTCCGGCCTTTGACAATCACGAGCGCTAACATGTGTCAGAATGCCCATCTTCGAGTCAAGAGTCAGAACCAAAATCAGCCACCAAAATCAGCCGCCTCACAAGGTACTGGAGTTGGTGTCTCTGTCCTCAACATTGAGGATCATTCGTGCGCCCACACCATAATACTCGGGCTCGTCACTCCCTTGGAGCACATCGAGTGTAGTACTCAACATGGAGCCCATGTTCCTAGGTCGCCAAAGAAAGTACAAGGGGTTGCCCGTGTTCGTGTATATTTTTTAAAGTTGAACCATGTATAAGGCTTTGCTTGTAGTGTGTACAAGCAAGGTCGTATCTTAAGAGATGAATTATGTAGCAAGCAAGGTCGAAACCATAGTGTCAACTTGATTTAGACGGCTGAAAGTGAGATGAATTAACTAACTAAGAAAATATAATCAAAATAAATCAAATCAAGAACAAAGAATTAACTAAACACACGTACCAGAAATGAATGAGAACGCAAGATTTTAAGATTATGGTTCCGATTAATCGTTGAGTTTATTCAGAAATATCACAATTAAATGTTTTACCGTCTACCCTATAAGATGATCACAAATTTAGCTTATCTTCCCTCTTGATATCGATAGAACTGTAGATTAAATCACATATATTTCATTCAACACATTCAATTCAACTCCTATTAGAACAAAAGATTCAATATTCTCAAAACGACCTACTAATCCCTCGATTCAATCAAGTAAATTGTACAAAATATTAAGAAATAATATTGAACTCATCTTTCGGATTATGAACAATATTTTTCATAGATGTAAAAACTTTGGCCAAGTGACAAACATGGAATAACAACAAAGTATTTGGATAGAGTTGAAAAGAAAAATAATTAATTATAATAAATCATTCAAAGTCGCAACATATTAAATACATAGACATATTGGAAATCAACATAAGAAATAAAAGTTAAAAAAATAGTTGATCACTTGTTATCATCCAGATTTGACATACACTTCTTGTCATAACCAATTGGTGACTATTGATTAAAATAAAATATGATTAGATGTTTGATATTTAGAGTTGTTTCTCCGTCATATATTGAGTTATGTCGATGACACTCGTAAGGGTGGCACTCGTTTTCACTGTTGGCCAACCACAAGGTGCAACATCTCTTCCGATTCGGAGTGCAGCGTCTCGAGTTCTTAGGTAGGGAAAACAGTTCTTTGTAGTTTAATTGTAATCTCGGGTGCGTGAATTTAGATTCTTGCAGCGTTTCTTATTCCCTTTTTGTTGTATTATTATTGTGTTGTTGCTGCATTTTTCATTTTGCTTTTGTTCTATGTTGATTCTCATGAAAATGCTTCCTTTAATTTGGGATTTCAATATTAGGTTTAATAAAACTCATTCTTCAAGAATAATTAGATTTTCACTACTTCCTCTATGTGACCGGTTTGAAGTACATAATACATAACATTAAAGAGGTATGATGCAGAAAGTGTTAAACTAACTATACTAATTCACATTTGTGCAAGAGATATGATGCAGAAAACTACATTAATTGTTTCTTTTCTTGATGAATTCTTTCTTTATGTAGTTATTATTATTGAATTGGAGGATCATTATCTTGCGGTGCAATGCGAAGTCTTGGAGGGTAATAGTGAAGAGCTTTAAGAACAACTTATTGGGTTTTCTTCAACATTAAGCTATGTAAATTCAGCTGAGGACTTGGAATATAAGAATATCCAAATGATCTTTCCTAAGCAACCCAAGTGAAAAATTGCCTCTTGGTTGTGGTGAGGATAATTTTTTTAGATTTTTAATGAATATCTAACCTTTTAAAGGTGGAGTAATACATGATACTCTTAATAGAGATAACACCTATATAAGTGTGAAGTGGGGGCAAATTGTAAGCACTTATAATCCAACGTGTTGTCCATAGCCCAAAAGAAAAAAAATAAAATAAAGGAATGGATGTAAAGCTCTGTTGTGTAAATGTCATTGTCTTGATATACAATATGTATGAATAGTTTAAGGCAATATGTCTATTAAGTTGTTAGTACATCTGATGATGTTTACTAGGAAAAGTCCAAAGTCACAAGCTATTTTTGTTTTTCTAAGGCAATAGTCACGTGAAAATTAAGTAAAAGAGTATGTATACATGCTTACATTTGATTTCCATTTATGCAGGATAATGTTAGAAAATCAGTTAAATAAAATTTGGGTTTGACCTGATTTTGACTAATTTTTTTGCTAGCTAAATATTTAGTTCTGATTAAATTAAGTAGAAAAATTATACGTTCTTAGTAGGTACTCGTGGTATATTTATTTTCTCTAAATTAATTTCAAGTGAGTGAGAAATAAATTATTAATGACATTAATGGATAAACAAAACGTTGGTTGTGGGATTCGAAAAAGTAATGTCCTACATTGAACTCTTAAATGAGAATAATATAATAAACAGAGTGTTAGAGGTAACAACAACAACAAAGCTATGTACCAAGTGTTAGTGTCGACTTCGCCACACGCGCGCGCCTGCCCACCGGCAGCTCAGGCCCAGGCACGAGCACGAGCCTGAGCCTTGGCATTTTGAGTCCATTACAACAACCATTAGTTGACTTTTACAACAATTACTGGTTGCCTAACCAGGTGGGTAGAAGTCTTATATATAGGATCTGTCTAGAGCTGCAGAGAGACACACATACCATTATATCATGTGCATTTTATTCTTTGAAAGCCTCACTCATCATGTCACAAGTATGCTCAATTCTCGTCTCAATTCTAGTTCTCCGTGCTCGCTAGTCTGGTGTACTACAACCTTGGAGATGATTATCATTGTATCTTTGGAGACAAGACGCATAGACCCGTTAACACTATACGGGCCATATTTATCTTGCGGAGAGAGATTTTCTTGTTTTTTATTTGTCTTTGGAATGGATGACCCCAAAGTTTGTTAGCATTTTCTTTTGAGTTTCTGATGGTAGCTGAAATGTAGATATTACTCATAGAGTGCGCTCAACTGTGTTGGAACACAAATTATCTGTAGCTTAGAATTTATGTAGCAACACCAGAATCAATTACAATAGCTTAGAATTCGGGGAGCGTTCCACTCCCCTCGGAGATCTTTCATTTATAAATCAATAGCACACACTTGTATAGTTTGGACGTACAAAACTAGAGCTCCCTTCTAGCCTAGCCTTGTACACTCGATTCTACAAACTACTTCTCTGACTCACGTCCTGTGGACTTCACACTCTCGAATCCCTCGAGTAAGAACTCAATACTTAATTCCTAAGTACGAGAAACAAAGTGTTAAGTTTTTCGACATTGAAAGAACATCGAATTTCTGAAACCGTGAACTAAAAGGGAAAATCAAAGAACTCGAACTCTCAATTGAATGCTGAAAAATAGGTGTACAATAATAATGATCTTCGAGTAGGGTATATATACGACTTCTTAGGTGTAATATCTCTTCAAAGCATTTTCCTTATATTCTGATTTCCTTCCCAGAATATAGGATACAACTTGGCAAGTGTATATCTCCTTTTCTCTTCCTTCAAAATCTCCTCTTCATGCATGCCTCTCTCTCTTCGTCCATGCGTATCCCATTCTTCAATAAAAAATTATTATAAGATCGAGCATATCTTACCTATATATATATATATATATATATATATATATATACAACAAAATATACACATTTAATATATAAATAAAGAACTTCACTTTTTATTCCACATGCTTGCAAGAACACATCTTATATATATATTATTTTTGAACTATTTGCCAAAAATAAAATTTTCAGTAGCTTATTGGAGGATAGTTGTTAGCAGTTTAGGGTTCCGTCTTAGTGGTGCGTACGATTTAGCAAGAAGTGGTCGGGGAGCTTTTATTGTATTTTACTTTTAGTATGTATATATTTTGTGTGTATATGTGTTTGTTTTTGTGGTTTATTATTCTCCATTATTGGAGTTTGTAATCTCCACTTTGTGTAGCATTTTATTTTAGCTTGTGCCTGTATTTGTGTTTTTTTTTTCTAAGCTACCTTTTAGTAGACCTTCTAGATATTCAATTTACTAGGGTAGTTTATTTATTTAAAAAACAAAAAAAACCAAGTGGACAAAAAAAAAAAGAAACAAAAATGTGGACAAAAATCAAAATGGCGTATTCTCGAAATACATTTTTTTAATAAAATTTTCTTACAGCCAAGGGCTGGTAGAGAAATTTAAAAATGTATTCTCGTAATACATTTTAAAATTATATTTGTAAAATGTTAAAAAAAATTATTTCCGTTAAAAAAGTCGAATTAAATAAAAAATAAT